CATTTGTGCTCAGGCTGCATCAAACCTTTAGGTATACTTTCATTTCCTAAAGGAACATCTAGTTATTCAGGCTTATCTCCATAACAAGATTCTTATAAAGAAGTAACCCCCATTCCCACCCCCAACACCAATTTCTTTTTTCCACCTGAGCTCAGGCTAGTTGAGAAGGCTGTAGCAGTCTCTGAAAGCACGAACAAAAACACTATTTCGACAGCTATAGTAAGTGGAAAGGCTCTGAACTGGGCTACAACCAGTTCTGTCCATACTGACAGGGAAACCACAGCGGACCAAAGCCAACACACTCTTTCTAATGAGGCTCGCACAAGGCCTCCTCTGCATGTGGTTACCGGTCTGCTGCTCTACCACCGAAGGACACAGTGGGTACTCCCACTTTTCAGCAGCAATGATAATATGCTCAGAGCACCTTCACATCTAGAATTCTGCTGTCTAAAAGAAATAAAACAAGAGACAAAGGTATAATTCTAAATTTTCCAGTGCCCACTTAAAACAAAAGAAAAAAGTCTTGGGGTGTAGTTCAGTGGGAGAGCACTTGCCTAGCATGCCTGAGGTCCTGGGTTCAAGCCCCAGCATGACAAAATACAATAAAATAAATAACAAATAAAATGAATGTGAAAGGAACATGTGAAATTAATTTTAGTAGTATTATTTTATTTAACTCAACATATCTAAGACAAATTTTACTATCTAATTAATATTTAAATATTAGATGTTTTACCTTTTTTTCATGCTGTCTTCAAAATCAGGTATTTAATAGTTACAATACTTCACTTCAAACCAGTCACATTTCACGTACTCAACACAAGATGTGACTAGCAGCCACCAAACAGAACAGCACGGATCTACATTGTTTAACATGGTTGCTATTTGCTGAATAAATTTTTATTTATTCACCACTGATTCACCTAAGACCCCAATAAAGTAAGTGAGAGATATTAGTTGTGTGTACAGCAAATAAAGCCTTCTGACAAAAAGGAACTGATTTATTTACCCCAAACAAACCACGGAGTTGGAAAAACTTCTACTCATCTTGAAGTCTAGAACTTGCTACAAAAGTTCAAGCCTTTTACATATGTATACTTGGAAAATAAAACTATCTATTAGGTTCTTCTCACTAAAAATCTAGCAAACTCCCAAATCTCCATTTATTTTAAATTAATGCCTAGTGTTTTCTGTCATATAATCTCATCCCTTTTTTTTCAGATGGCTAGCAACTTTATTTCCTCTCCTACTAGACTAAAACAACCCCTTCTTTTCTATTTTGTCAAAAGCCAAACCAAACAATTCATACTTCAACTCTACAGTTGGCAATTGCAAAGGAAATTCTGAACAAATTTGTAATAAAGGCTCTTAGGTATAGCAAAAACAGCACCAAACTGAATATAAAACATTCACATAATGTTAACTTCTAACCTCAAAGCAACCAGCCAGATTCCTAAAATGGAAAAAAAAAAAAAACAAGGAGTAAATCACGAAGTACTAGAATAATAAAATTACAAACTGAACTTTCAATCTATTAAAGAAACTCAAAATCCTTCAAAATAAAAAATTTAAAAAGACAACTCACAGAATCAATTTGATAAAGAAAAAAGACTGAGTATTTATAACTTGAAAAGCCTAAATTCAAACACTAACCCAAACACTATTTGCCTTCGGCAAATTATTTACCCTTTTTGAACATGCATATCTGTGAAAAGGATATTAATATATTATACTCCTAATACAGTGATTGTAAATGTTCACAAAATGTATTATAATTAATAAATTATTCAGTGCTAGTAAACAACAATTAATTTCTATACTCCAGCCCCACTCATTTTTTTTATTGGTTGCTCAAAACATTTCAATGATCTTGACATATCATATATCATACATTTGATTCAAATGGGGTATGAATTCTTATTTTTACCATGTGTACAGATTGTAGGATCACACTGGTTATATAGCCACGTTTATACATACTGCCATACTAGTGTCTGTTGTATTCTGCTGCCCTTCCTGTCCCCTTCCTATCCTCCCTCCCCTCCCTTCCCATCATCTCTCTCTACCCCATCTACTGTAACTCATTTCTCTCTTTTATTTTTTCCCCTTTCCCCTCACTTCCTCTTATATGTAATTTTGTATAACAATGAGGGTCTCCTTCCATCTTCCGTGCAATACCCCTTCTCTCTCCCATTCCCTCCCACCTCTCGTCCCTGCTTAACAGTGATCTTCTTCTCATGCTCTTCCTCCCTGCTCTGTTTTGAGTCGCCCTCCTTATATCAGCCCCACTCATTTTTGTAATTTATGTAAAGCAGAAAACACGAATCTGAACTTAGAGCTTTAACATCAACAGAAATAAGAACCCTATGGCACAAAATTGTCTTTCTACTCTTTTCCTCAGTAGGGGACTGGGATGGTGAATAACTCAGCTATGAAGATCTGTAAAGAACACTAGAAAACTGCTGCCACCAACAATTCAATGAGTTCATAATGCAATACCTCCATCATGCCAAGTAAATAATAATGTCAATCTATATGTAGTTACACTGACACTGAGAAACACAGCCCAAGAACATTTAGCTTAGTCTGAGAGAGTTGGGGAACGCTTGCTGAGGGAGTTAACCAACTGATCCAAGTCAAACAGGCACAAAATCATGAAGAAAACAGGGTTAGGGGTGGAGCAGGCCAATCTGGAGAAAAGCAATGGAGTAAATGAAGACACAGAATGTGGAACAACACAAGCACAATGTGGGAGAGCTGAGAGCAGCTCTTACTGCCAGAGTCTGGAGAGCTGTTGGATGCATGAGAAGACTAGAGAAGCAGATAGAGCTGGGGCATGAAGGCTTCATATAACACAGGGAGCATTTGGGGGCTTTATCCTGTTAATGACAGGCAGGGCAGAAAACAAGTCTTGTCACTGGAAATCAAAGTATTGAAATGAGTTAAAAAGGGAAAGGAAACCTATGGTGAGAAACTAAAGACAGAGGATCACTCCAAATGACAGCCAACAGATCAAAAGAAATAGAAAGCACCACGTGGAACATATCCACTACCTCTGCCACCCTTTCTAGAAATACAAATTACACTGAGAAAGAAACATCTTGCATAGAAAAGAGGCATTTATTAAACATCCTGGGGTAAGAAATTTGGGTAAAATATCATTTTACTGGGAAACTTTGCCCCAAGATCAGACCTTCCTAATTAATATCAAAGCAGGAAACCAAGTGTGGTATCAAAGAAAAATCAGCAACAAAATTACAATACCATTTAATCTTCATTGGAATCAGAAGCCTGAGTACCACACAGAGTCATACTCCCACAGGGCACAGGGAGATTAGAATAAAGTCAAGTTCCTGACACTTATATCATCCTGCCCAGAACTAACTGTGAGACTCATTAAAAGTAGAAAAAGTCCAAATCTTTTCAGTTACGGCTGGTCATGTGATTAACTTTATAGTCATTTCTAAGTGGAAAAAAAAAATCTACCACAAAAATGGCAAAAGCTAGGGAGAATAGAGAACATAACAGAAAGTGCAGAGGGTTGGAAGTGAAGTCCTAGGATCAGGACCCCATGAAGAAATTCTAGGGAAAGTCCAATTCTAGGGAAACCCAGTAGGAAAGTATTAAAGAGGACGGTTTGGGGATTAAAAGCAGAAATATGGGCTTTTCCAGAAAATCATGTTATTTAAGCTTTAAATCCTTTTTTATCTTTTCTATTCATAGTCTATAGAACAAGAGTACTCTAAATAATTAAAAGCTGCAGATAAGGGAAAGCAATTCAGAAATGCTAAAGAACACCAGGCAGGAATGACTGCAATCCAGCATAAAGACTTCTCTGTAACAGAGTTCAGTACTGGTACTGAAGTTTCTTCTTATAACACTAACTTATTCTTTGGGTTTCCACATTGAATCAATCCATTTCTCTCAAAAACTTTCTGACTTAATTGTCTTCACTTTCAGTAGATAAATAGATGGATACAAAAAAAAAGTAGACCACAGTCTGCATAAAATCACCCAACTTACTAAAGTAAAAAACTTAGGATAATGTAAAGAAACTTCCAAGAGGGTATAAAATTAAGCTAGACTACTCTTCTAATGTCAGAGGCAGAAAAAATTATTTTTGACTTGTGTGGAGAAAGGGATACAAGAAAGACAAAGCAGAGCTGGGGTTGTGGCTCAGTGGTAGAGTACTTGCCTAGCATGTGTGAGGCACTGGGTTCAATACTCAGCATTGCATGCAAATAAATAAATAAATAAAAGGTCTATCAACAACTAATAAAATGTTAAAAAGAAAGAAAGAAGACTCCCAGCTGGGAGTCTGAGGCAGGAGGATGGCAAGTTTAAGGCCAGCCTTGACAACTTAGCAAGATCCTATCTCAAAATAAAAAAACAGAAAGGGCTTTCGATGTAGCTCAGTGGTAGGGCACTTGCCTAGCATGCACAAGTCTTTGGGTTTAATCCCCAGTACCATGAAAAAAAAAAAGAAAAAGAAAAAGAAAGAAAGAGAAGAAATATGATTATAATAAAATAATGTCCAAAGTACTTGCTCAAGCTTTTGCTAGTTAAAAGGTATGACAATAAGATAAGATAGATATCTATCTGTGAACAAATAAGATCTGAACTCCTGTGGTGTATATAGTTTGGTTTGGCATTTAAGTATGCTCTTTCCTCTCAAATATTTATTAAGCATCTACTATGTTCCAGGCAATGTACTGTTTTTCCAACAAATAAAGTTCAGAGTCTACCAATAATGATCTTCTCTCATATGCACTGTAGCACTTAGCACAGTGTTGAGTTCAGAGCAGTTGCCCAATAATTCCTATGAAAATTTATATTTGAGTGAACACTGTACGCCTGGGGTTAGCACTGCATCTGGCTCAGTTCATACACCTGTCTAAAGTAGCCCTAAAATGACTTGTTCAAGGTGCCCACTTTAGCAGCAGTCTCCTCTCCTTCCCAATCCACACTCCATTCTGGTGGGTTCATCACACTGTACATACCTGTCCACTGAGGGGGGCAGCGGCAGTTGTATGTATTGACCCCATCCACACAAACCCCTCCATTCTGACACTTGTGGTTAGGACAGTCATCAATATTCCGTTCACAGGTGCTGCCTTCAAAACCTGATAAAAGAGGAACAAAAGAAAATGACGGATTCTCATACATAAGCATTCTGCTCAGGACATGATCATCAGGACAGACCTGCTTCGTGACTTCAGTTCAACCTCCAGCAACTGCTCAATGCAGGACTCACTATATTACAAATTTCCCCATCCTCCAACTTTTCTGGCCTTAAGCACAGCTAGACAGTGTGACTCATTATACCATGGCATGCCTTCACAGTTACCTCACAAGTATTTCATGGTGTTTCCATGAAATAAAATCCCAGGGAAGATAAATGTCTTCTCGGGACAGATATTAACTGGTTCCAAAAAACAGGGTATTAGATTTTCCCCAACTCCATACTAAACTACTGGGAAGAACAGATGAAAGATTACCTAATTGCATTCCCTCCCACCCCCAGGATGATAGCTCAGAGGCCTTCAAAACTGGGGGTGAGAAATAGGAAAAATACTGAAATATTAAATATTATTATGGGTCAAGTCCAATCTCACCACCTACAAGCTGTTCAAAACACAGTAAGTTACAATCGATCAGTTTTCTTATCTGTAAAATGAGGCTGAGTCCACTTACCCAGCCTGCCTTTCTAGATCATGAATGCAGTACTATACAAAAGTTAAAAGCTATCTGGAAATAAGGTGACATTATTACTAACTAAACTTTCCAGCACTTCAAATTCTTCCTGCTCCTCTCTACATGAATACCACATTCATAGTACTGCTTCCTTCTTCCTGATTTTTCCTTTTTGTGAAAAACAAAACTAGAACATTACACTTCACTCTAACTGCCTGCAGTGTTGTTGTCTGTAATTTATATAGTGGGATTCTTTCTCTTTTCTTGCTACCTAATTCCTAAGCTATTCAAGCCACCAGCTGGAATTCAATGCTAATGTTCAATGAACATACTCCTATTTGAAATATAATATGAGTAGATATTTGGACCCCTCAAAATATCCCTTAAGGTCCTTCTCTCTCATTGAAAACATTTATGGGTCTTACACTAGACATTAGGAAGAGAACAGTCAGTAAAGAGGCAAAGTCCCTGCTTTTCTGGCACTTATAGCCTGGTAGGTGGGACAAACATCATTCACACCTTGCTCTACCCACCCCTTATCACAAGCTACTATGGATTCTACATTTGCTTAACATAGCTGGTTTCTCTGAATACAATTGTCAGTCATCTAAATGAGCTTAAACCAAGTAGCCAAAAATATTACCCAAAAATCAAAAGAAATGATTTCATGGAAGACAAATATTTGAAAGCTTGACTAAAGAAAATTATATTTCTCCAGGTAGTTGGTCCTCAGTCTGCTTAAGCAGATGTATCACTAAGAAAGCCTGATAAAGACAATGGAAATACACATTCATATTTTTAAAAATTTATATTACTCATATTTCTGTTTAATCATCTGAAAGTCTTAGTAATGGACTAATGAGCCAGAAAATGCTGAATTGCTTAATACCACCCCTGATTATGATAAAGTGAAGCCAAAGCTACGGATCTACCACACAGCAGTCACTGAATGGGAACTAAGGTTTGTGTTCCTAGCCCAGTGCTTTTTATGAAGACATTCTTTAGAAAAGTTCAAGTTAAGGTTTCAGTTGGGGGGAGGGTGAAGCTCCTGGCGCACCACTGCTGGAACGTGTGTGGTCTGTGGTGTCCTATAATTCCTGATGGTCATCTTCTCCCTAATGTATTTCTCTGTGACTAAGAATGACTTGAACAAGGTGTCAGGGAGGTGGTAAGGCTCTTGTAGCCAAGTTACAAAGAACAGAAACCAGGACCCTGCCTTTATATTAGCCACTGTTACAACTAACTGAATTCACCAACCACAGACAAATTAAGAAAGCAGAAGCATTTCAGCATAACCACAACAGATAAGAAATAAAATGTTTTCTTTTTGTGTCTGACTATTTTTGAGATAGTTCCTCCCGGTCAGTAGGAAGGCAGGTAAGGAGGCGGACAGGCAAGAGAGGTAACTCACCGTGAAAAACAGTCTATGAAGCCAAACTACCTCTCCGCACTGCCTTGAGATAACTGAGTGGCCCTGGGCACAAAGCTTAACTTTCTGTCCTCATACAGATTGACAAGACCTAGCCGGAAGAGTTGCTGTAAAGATTAAATGAGTGAGATTGATACAAAAAAACACTTGATTCAGTACATGGTGCTGGGTCAACTAAATGCCCATATGCAAAAGAATGAGGTTAGACCTCTTCACACATAAAAATTAGCTCAAAATGGACCAGGGACCTGAAGTAAAAGCTAAAATTATAAAACTATTAGAAAAAAACAGAAGTAAATCTTTGTACCTTGAGTAAGTAAAGGTTTCTCAAATATGTCCCAAAGCATAAGGAAAAAAAAATAGATAAACTGGACTTCATCAAATTAAAAACACTGGGTTCCGAAGAATGCCATCAAGAAAGTAAGAAAATTGCCCACAAATAGAAGAAAAGTATCTGCCTGATAAGAGACCTGAATCTAGGATAAAGAACACAAATTGGCATGAGTATACTATGTATTAAAACCAGAGATATGAAAAATTGAGCTCTATATATGTAATAAGAATTGTAAAGCATTCCACTATTATATATAAATAAATAAATAAAATTAAAAGAAAAATGTTCAATGTCCTGATCAAACTAAACAAACTTCCATGGTAACTGTTCAGTGTAATAATCAAATAAAACATTTTAACTCTTAAAAAAAAAAGAAAGAATTTTTATAGCTTTATAAAAAATATAAATAACCCAATCATCAACTGAGCACAGCATTTAAGTAGACATTCTCCAAAAAAGAAACACAAATAAATAGTAAGTATATAAAAAGAGTTTTGACATAAACTTAACAAATGTTGATAAGGATGCAAAAAATTGGAACCCTCATATACTGCTGGTTGGAATATAAAATAGTACAGCCAGTTTGGAATATTGTCTGAGACTAGAAGTTCTTGAAATTTTATATGATTTATATGATTTTTATATGATTTATATGATTTTTATATGTTTTACATGATTTAGAAATTCTACTCTCCTAGGCATATACCCTCCCCCTAAATGGTAACATTTCATTATATCAACAAAAAAACTTGTCCAAGAATGTTCATAGCAGCATTATTCACAATGGTCAAAATGCCAATCAACTGATTAATAAATAAAATGTGGCAAACCTATTTGATGGAATATTATTCAGCCATGAAAAGGACTGCAGTATTGATATATGCTATAGCATGGATGAATTTTAAAAACATTACAAGTGAAAGGAGTCAGTCATTAATGACTACATATTGTATATTTTAATTTATATGAAATGTCCAGAATAGGTAAACTGAACCATAAACTAAATTAGTAGTTGCCTAGGGTTGGGAGGGAGTTATGAAGAATGGGTATCAACTGATAATGGGTACGTGGTTTCTTCTGGAGTATAAAAATATTCTAAAATTGACTGTGGTGATGATTACACATCTATGAATATACTAAGCCACTGAATTATATGCTTTGTAAAAGCAAGTTGGCATATGAATTATATCTCAATAAAGATGCTATTTATTATAAAAACAAAATATATTAGCTAATATTATTATGTATCAATGGGGTTAGAGCATCCACTAGAGATTATATACTCTAATCTCACTACTGCTACAGACAGGGAAGTGGAGGGCCACAAGGCTGAGCTGCCCATGACTAAACGGCCAGCAGGCAGGAGTCAGCACTGAACCAGAAACTCTACCCAGTTTTTGTCAGTAGTTTCCTAGGAACCCAGAGTCTCCTCTGAAACGAGCAAAAAAAAAAAAAAAAGACCTTAAGTCAAAAGTTCCAACATCTGGGGCTGGAGTTGCGGCTCAGTGGTAGAGCGCTTGCCTAGCATGTGCGAGGTACTGGGTTCAATCCTCAGCACACACACCCCCTCCCCCCATAAAAATAAATAAATAAATAAATAAATAAATGGTTTTTTTAAATGAAAAAAAAAGTTCCAATGTTTGAAATACATTGCAAGGTGCTGGGTCAATCTTCAGCTCCACAAAAAAATAAATATAAATAAAGGCGTTGTGCCCAACTACAAGTAAAAAAAATATATATTTAAAAAAGAAATAGAGATCCAGAACTCTTTTTGGAAATAGATAGCAAATTCTTGTAAGAAACAACCCATCCAAAAAGTGGGGGAAATGCTCTAAGAATAAGTCACACAGCAGACACTTCTAAAAAATACTTTTTAAAGTTTTTAGGGGAAAGGGAAAAAGGCCTCCAGACTTGTGGGTGGGATAGCGTGGCAAAGTCACAAAAAGGGCTCCCACAGCTGCACTAATAGGAGCCCATTTCTCAAAGCCAATTCCCGTCCTCACAAGGCCAGAAGGAGAGAAATTGAGAAAGTACATTAAAGATTGTGCTGTTATAAACTGGTGGGCCACTTCAGTGATTAAGGATGGCAGTGAGGAGGGGAGCAGACAAATCTTTAAATGTGTCATCCCACACAGAGAGCAACGTCTCTCAGGGGAGCATCAGTGTCTTTCAGGCACTGGGAGGTGTGAGGGTGGAAAGGGGCAAGGGAGAAGGGAAGATGAGATGACATAACCAAGATGCTCTTGGGCCAGGCACAAAGTCTTGGGGAAAGCGTCCATGAGAGGAATCAAAGAGCAAGGGGAATCAGGGGGTACCTAGAGCTGGACAAAAGCAAAATGACACAAGGCTACTTTTTTTTTTTTAATTTCCAAGAAAGAAATCTGCCACAAAAACAAACTTGCGAAAACATAATATCCAAGAGAAGACCACCCGATTCTGAGTGTAAAGCTGCAAGAAGGAAATATTTCTGATAGTTCTTGAGCTCAGGAATATGAGAATAGACACAAAAGCCACAAAACATGTGAAAACTGTTTTTTAATGTAGAGCGATGCCACATCTATCCAGCCTGCGAAGTGTAGGATGGTTCACAAAGGATCAACCTTCACTGATAAAGACAGGATATACCAGGCAGCTTTCTGTGAAGTTTGAAGAAAAAATTATAGAAGAATAAATAGATGTGAGAGAAAAAGAAAAGGGAAAGTACACTGAGAACTGTCCAATCCAACTCTGAACTCACAAGGGATAGCAGTAGACTCAAAACAGCCCACTGTGTTCTGATTAGTGTGTTATTTATTAAAATATCCACAGACATAAAGCCAGCCTAACACATTCTCTCCCAATTGGTTGGCTGGAAACCAAAATACTGGGAGTCAATGATCCAATAATTTATTGTTCTTGTGTTAAAATTACTGCAGCTGGGTGCCCTCCTCAGGGTTTCCTCTACTAAGGGCTTCACATGATGGAAGCTTACGAAGGGTCCAGATTATTAACAGCTGCTGATCCAAGGAGACTATGGAATGTGGTTCCTTGATTCCATTCTACTAGTTCCCTCTTAAAGATAGCCTTTTTTCCTCTCTGTGGAGAAACATATTTTCCATGTCACACCAGATGAGTCATTTTTGCAGTTTTGATTCCTTTCCAATGAGTCCTACAATAATACTAAAATCAACTCTCAGTGACCACAGTATCCTTTGCAGGAAAAGAATTTTAACTTAACCATTTAAAGATAATCACTAACTTACATGCTATTCACCAACTTGAGTTGAAAAACACACCAAATTTCTTCCTTTTTTATTTTAAATTTATTTATTTATTCTAATTTATTATACATGACAGCAGAATGTATTTCAATTTACATTACACATATAGAACACAATTTTTCATGTCTCTGGTTGTTCACAAAGTAGAGTCACACCATCCATATCTTCATACATGTACTTGGTATGTACTTCATACATGTACTTCATACATAATAATGATGTCCATCTCATTCTACCAACTTTCCTACCCACATACTCTCTCCCTTCCCCTCCCTCCTCTTTGCCCTATCTAGAATTCCTCCATTCCTCCCATGGTTCCCCCTACCCCCATTATGGATCAGCAAAGCCAGGCTCAGTCTAGGATGCCTGATACCAGGAAGAAAATGAGAAGCCCAGAGTCGCATACTCCATTATGGTGACCTGACACTGCACTCAAACAGTTGGTCAGTCAAGAAGTGTGTGCAGGCCTCTTAGGTTTCAGGAGATGTTTTTAAAAGGTGTTTGGGGTACTTGAGGGAGCAAAAACAAAGATCCAGCTTTCATTCTGGAGACAGGAGGAGGCAATAGGATTTGGAAAAGATAAAACGATAAACAATAGGCAAAATGAAGTAAATTACATAGCAAAAATTATATAGTAAGAAGATAAGTGTCACAGAAAAATAAAACAAAAAGTAGACCAAGGTCAGTAATTAAGGAAGGGGGCTGGGAAGTGCAAAGACTTGGAATGTGGTAAAAAGCAACCATTTCTTGAAAAGTTTCAGGAGCCTACCCTCTCCTGTATCAGCTCTGCAACTTTGGGTAAATTTACTTAACACGACCAAATTTCAGTCACTTCACATGAGAAACTCAAAAAATAACTCCTAATCCCAAGGATTTTGTGTTTAATTACACTAATGGGTGTGAAAGTACCTGGCGGTACCTAACTCAAAAGGTTTTAAATAAATGTTGCTTTATCTTTGCCCAATCTTCTCCCTGCTTAAATCCCCTCAGCATCCCCCAACACACCATCAGTGAATGACAAGCAGAACGTGAAGAGAGCCAAAATCTCACTCCCTAGCCCACCAGCCCTGGCAGCAACTTGGCTGAGGAATGCCTGGTTATTTCCTTTCTCAAGGAAGAGATGCTATTCTTGTTTGACAGATCTCTTCCTGGACACACTCTCAGAATTCCCTAAGGTTCTTATCGAGGTTAATGGAAAACAATGCAGAGACAATGGGAGTGAATAATCACTCTCTCTTAGCTAAAGACTTCCTTTATTGACTTCTCTGACTTCCTCTCAAAATTTTGCTGCCAAATCAACCTACTGTTCTAGGCAACTATTAAAAGTAATTTTCTTAAAACTGAAAACAGTATCTAAACTTCAACCATAAATCACACTAACCTCAATTACTACCCACTTAGACCATTACATATTAGACTACTAGAATGTTTGCAATATTAAAATATTTATAAAACTAAATTGTTTATATTTCTATTTCTGTCTCTAGCCCTGAAAATGCAAACAAATACAGGAGTGAGGGATATCTTTTAGTTAGTCCTTCTGCAAGATAATGTGGATGACAGAAATATTATGATAATAAACATCTACTTAGTAGAGAATGATAACATTATTCTTTATTGAAAGAGAAACTAAAAGCAATACACATAGTATATTCTTACGACCTAAATGATAAAAAGTTTTCATTGCAACTAGTAGCAGTGTCTTGTGTTACTATACCCCAAACACATAACAGTACCTAGAACATAGCAGAGAGTCAAGAAATTTTTACTAAATGAAATGAATAAATTACTATTTGGTCTTATACTGAGGACCAACCTATGACCCTTAACTCCCAAAAGATAAAACACACAAACCCATTTTATGTGAACCATATCCACAACACCACAGTCTAAGATTCCCACTCTGAAACAGTGACTAGAACAACTTCTTTTTGAGACCATTCTGCTTACTTAGCACATTATTCCCCCCCCACACACAGGCAGTTTTCCTTCTTTTGTTTTTGTTCTAAGGATATTTGTATAAAAACAGGATCCTTGTTGCTTAGTAATTCATTTGCTCCAGCTGTTTATGCTCTGTTCCCAATCAAAATTCTTGGTTTTCAGCCTCCTCATCACTTGTTTAAGAAGTAAAGTGATCTGGCCATTTGCTCCTCCCTGCCAAGGAACACCAGCCTGGAGCTTCCAGACCTTGCTGCTCCATTTTTGCCATCTACCTTGGGTTACCTTGTGCTCTAAGGCACTTCTACCAGCCCAGAGGATGACAAAGTATTTACTTAGTCTCTCATACATTATCTACCAGAGGCCATCAAAAAGTACCTATTGATTAACAGAGGACCCCCCTCCTAGCTTCAAAATTCTCCAGCCTCAAGATAGAGTAGGGTTACCCCCAAATCAGGGAAGGTATATGGGTTAGGGTTCTGAAGACCAAACCTTCAGGGAAAATCACATATAGGAGGGTGGATACGTTCAAATTATAGTGAATTACTCAATCAGAGGCAAAAGCATATGGGAAAGTTGTCTACCTACTCTTATTAGTGTCACTATAATTTAAAGTACTTTATTAACCATGCATACATATTTTCCAATGTCTAATTCTCATTGTGTTCTTCTCCACTCCAGATTTGCCTGTCCCTTTCCCAGAACTCTATTTCTCTTATATCTTCTGTTTCTCCAGAAGGGACAATAAACAATTTCCTAGCCACTCATCATCATAAACCTTGACATGTTAAATTACCCCCTGCTCAGTTTATAGACCACAGTGGGCCCATAAAATTCCTCCCTCACGAGCAAGCCACCTCTCACAAAATCCTCACTTCCATTTTTCCCTGCTTTAGTACACTTCCTAAAGGAACAACTGAACCACACTCACTGACTTCCACCTCCTTCTTGCAATTGATTTGTTTCCCAATCCTAGGACAGTAGGGAGTTCCTTACCTGGAAGGCAGTTGCACTCAAAAGTGAAGTCACCAGTCTGCCGGCAGGTGCCTCCATTGACACAGGGGGAGGGTGCACAGGGCACATAGGGGCTGTCACAATGTTGGCCTGTGAAGCCTTGGGGGCACTGACACTGGTAGGAACCAGGTAGGTTGAGGCAGGTGCCACCATGCTGGCACCGTCCTGGTATGTCACACTCGTTGACATCAGTTTCACACTTCTGCCCTGTGAAGCCTGTGAGACATTTGCAGGAGAACTGGTTGGCTACAGTGGTACAGGTACTTCCATTTGCACATGGATGAGACAGGCAGGCATCAGTCCACTGGCACAGCTTTCCTACAGGGGAGAAGAGAACTTAGTACTTTTCATATAATCAGGAGCCAGCCCCAGCTTCAAAACCCCTCTCCCACCCAAGAAGTGACTGCAGGAGTTCTTGCATGGAGATCCTCAAGCTCTTTGATTTTATGGAAGAACAAATCATAGCTTCTTCAAGATTGTCTGATACAAGGGTCCTTTTCAGAAACTCTCCAAGGCCCATAGATGAGACTCAAAGATGTCATGGATAGAGCACATAAGGGGACCACATTGTCATACGAAGCCCAATCCTGAAGGATTACACTGGTCCCTGTGACTAGGGTCTGATCCATCCGTTCTCACACCTCCCTGTCTTTGCACAAGCTGCTCCTCCTTTTAGAATGCCAGCTTCTGTTTTGATTATTTAGTGAACTCTTCCCTTATCTTAACAACTTTGCTCAACAGTTACCTCCTCTATAAAGTCATTCTTAAATGCCCCCCAACACTGCAGCTCTGCTCTTTCCTTCCATTATAAACAGCTGCCACACCAACAGGGGCTAGGTCCCCCTAGTATAGTCTCAAGTTATTTTACTGAATACATAAAATGTACTGATATTTTCCCCAACAAGTTACTAAAGAGGCCTCTTAGGTCAATATTACTTCTATTTCCTTTAAACACAATATACTATCCATTCTGGGAAACATTTTGTTAATATGTGGTCTTAATATAGGTACTGCTTGATATGTTTGGAGATGGTGAAGGATCCCTGGCCTCCAATGTGTCAGAAAAAATAGAAGCTGTCACGAGGACAGGTGTCTGAAAAGGTAACTTCTGTGGAGTCTTCCAGACAGAAAAACACCAGGAGTAGGGGGACTCTGCCAGGCTAAATGCCAAGGTATCTGTCCACAGGAAGCAGAGCACATTCTTGAGAGAGGGAGAAAGGGAAAGAGAAACAGAAATATGCCCAAACTTTTAGTAAATCTGGTATTCATATGACTTTTTTGTTTACATTACCCTAAGTCTTATTTTTTAAGCTACAGATGAGAACTCCCTGGTTTTGTTAATAATCCAACTGGCTGTCCAAATCTTTGACCCCACAGAAAAGCAAATGAGAGACATGACAGCTTTGCTAAAAGGAGAAAAGTCATGATATGTGAGAAATGTCACACAGAAATGCTCTCTGCTTATCAAAGAATGCCAAACCAAAAGGGAAAGGACCAATATAGAGTTAGGCACAGCACATATATCTCAGGTGCTGAGCAGAAAGAAAATGAAGGAACTGCGATTTTGGGCCTATTTTTTCCCTTCATTTTGCTGAGAGGTATGTATTATAGCAGAAAGGGACATAAATGTTTATTTCTGGAGACCACAGATATCAGGGTGCCTGCCCACAACTGAAACAGAAATGTCTTTTAACTTAGATTCCCACATGTACTATGTACAGGCACTAACTTGTTTCCCTTGCTTCTTAGTCTGGGTGTAGATGAGCTAACAAGGTCTAACTAGGTGAGGGTGAAGGGCTCTCACAAAAACCAAAAGGATGAACTCAACCTGTGGAGAATGGTCCTCCTTTTCTCAATTTAATAAATAACAAATTTTCTGAATTTAATAAATACCAATGGAAAAAAGCTAAGATCTACCTCTGAAGAAACCAAATCTATTCAGGTAAGAGACATGTAAAAAATCAATTACAGTAAAATGTGACATTAAAATAATCAAACTGTAACTAACTGCCTAAAGCAAACATGAAAGGGTCACTAAGACAAATCAGGCAATCACCAATCGTAGAGAAGAACAGAAGAACACTCCAGGAAACCACATGGAAGCAACAGGAAGTATGACATCTCTAAGAAATGATGAAAATATAAGTGTGACCAAACCTAGATGCTTGTGAGATAGTGAGACTATGAAAAGATGTGAGGCATACACTGTGATGAGCCAAAGTAGCCAAGTAAAGAGTTTACAGTTCATTCTGTGGATGGCAAAAATTCATAAGACACTACAAAGAGGTGAGTTTGTTAAATCTGCATTTATAGCTAAAGCTACAATATGATGGATGAATGAAATGAAGCGAGAAAATTAGTTAAGGAACTACTTTACCAATCTAGGTGAGGGATACCATAACACACACCTACAGAATAGCAGAGCAACTAGAGAGGAGTAAAAGTGAGAAATGATTCAGAGGCTGGCAGGTAACAGGATCTTAAGAGGGTGCAGACAAGGAGAGAGTTTCTAGTCTTAATATTTGGAATATGTATTGGTGTCACTTACTTATATCAACATGCTAAGTTTGAGGTTCTCTGAATATTTCTAAGGAAAAATGCAACAGGTAGTTAGAACAGGAGTCTGAATGTTTGAGTTGGGGCAGAGGAACAGGGATGACTGTGAGAGACACTGGCAACTAACAAAGATGATGACAGCTGTTGAAGCAACTGAAGAAACTGAGATTCCTCAGGGCGAGCTGTGATATCATTCCAAATAGGATTTCAGGAAACGTGAAAATTTAACAGATAAAGACAAAACAATGTAGAGAAAGAGAGAGAGAGAGAGAGACTATGAATGAATCAGAGCTCACAAAACCAGAGAAGTCAGTGTCCTGAATGTCTAAACAGCAGACATTTTAAGAAGGAAGTAATCATGACTTTCCTTCTGGTGACAGTGACTTTCCTTTAGTGAATTTGCTTTGATCCCCAATCCTGACATAAACACTTTATGTAGTCAAATATGCCTAAGTATTTGACCATTTTTCTTTCTCCTTTTCCACTCCTTAAAAACTCTCAAACAGAAGTTGAGGATAGTTCCTTATCGTAATGCTGGGAGACCCTACAGGAGCCAGACACTATGATCTAAAGATGCAAAATAAAGGTACCTGCTAAGAGTAGGAAAGTACAAGGTTGAGCCGCCTTTGTTACCTGTAAAACCAACTTGGCAGGTGCACTCATAGGTATCCCGGCTGAGCATGTGGCAGGTGCCTCCATTCAAGCAGGGGCGAGACACAAAGCAGGGGTGAGAGGTGGAGTACTGGCAGTCCTCGCCCGTGAACCCTGGAGCACATCGGCAGGTAGCTTTCCCCAACATGGCCTGGGCCACGCAGGTGCCACCATTCTGGCAGCGGTTCTTCTCACAGGGGTTTCGATGCTGACAATATTCCCCAAGGAAGCCCTCTGGACATCTGTAGGAAAAAAAAGAAGAGTCCATGAAAACATCTGATGCCTCGTAAGTACAAAAACTGATAGTAAGTAATGTGGTTCATCTGAGTAATACTAAATTGTGAATCAAGAGACTGAAGGCACAAGTTATAGAACTGCCTCACTTTAGGAGAAGGAGTACTTAGAGAACTTTACCACATACTACCTGGTCCTTCCAACTCTTGACAGGTGACAGAACACAAGGCAGATGATCCAGCAGAGTCTGCCACCACAGTGAGTCAGCATGACCCTTACTCAAAGGCAAAATACACTACAGCTTTGTTCATGTAGGTACAAGCTGGAATGATGTGATTGCCCATAGAGCACTGTTGATACCTGTTTGCTTAAAATCATTAACTTTCTCATTTTTTAAATTGATTTTATTTTTTAAATACATGACAGCGGAATGCATTACAGTTCTTATTTCACATAGAGCACAATTTTTCATATTTCTATTTGTATATAAAGTATGTTCACACCAATTCATGTCTTTATACTTTGGATAATATCCATCACATTCCATCATCATGTCTAACCCCCTCCCCCTCCCACTCCTCTGCCCTATCTAGAGTTCGTCACCTTATATCAGAGAAAACATTCGGCATTTGTTTTTTGGGGGGGATTGGCTAACTTCGCTTAGCATTAACTATGCCCTTTGATAGGATTACAATGTTCACATGATAATGCATGGAATCAACACTCTTATTCCTCCAATTTAAAATATATAAGACACCATGTACTTTTTCGAAATTAAGTATCAAGAAATAGTAAATTCTTTCTCATTGCCTCTTAAACACCAGTTGGCCTGCACATAGCTTTCTGGGTTAAATTCGGGTAATTGATTGCAATAGAGAAAAGGGGAAGGAGGTACAGGAACAGGGAAGGGTTCAAAAGGGCATTCTAAAACCTGTTAATATACAAGTGGCAGGTTTTTAAGTCAAGAAGGCATGAAATAAAACTAAAATGACAAAATATCTAAAATTCCATATAAACACCATAATGAACGAGGAAAATAACTGAAGAACAACATTCTATAACATTTTTCACATTAGGGCATTAAGGAAGATTTTTATATGCCACCTCTTAATTTATATGATGTATAACTGCTCTAAATTGGGAGTAATATTTTGACAATTTTTTTCTAAACAACATCAAATAGGCATGGGAAATTTGAAATTTCATATGAAGAGATTAAGTGGGACATCAAAGAAGTATTTAAAAAAACACAAAGACTTTGATTCTTAAGTATAAATTTTTCTATTTGGCTGGAAACCCAGATATTTGGTTCAAACTATTTCTCCATTTTACTCTTTGGAGCACAGAGAACTGAATGCAAAAGGCTGTTCCACCATTATGTCAAAGATAACACATTTAGATCAAACTCTAAATCTGACCCCCTACACCAGCTCCTGTCTTGTCTTCCTGTGCAGAATTACTGGGTGATTCTCCTAATCACATAGACCTAAAACACTGGGGTCTAGTTGAATTCATTCCTGGTTCCACTGATCATATCCAAGACATTTCATTAGATATTGGTTGGCCAGCTGAGGTCTTCAGGGGCCAAAGTTATTGAGAAAAAAAGATAGGTCAGCTATTAGGGAACTAAGACAGTACACTAGCTAAAAAGGGCTTGGAGGAGAAAACAGAGCCGGTCAACAGCTAGAGCAACAGTGATGTAACTGGCCACAGCCTCCTCACCCCTTCCTGAAGCTGTGTACAGAAAACATGGCAGAGGAAGAGCAGTGAGGGCTCTGAGCACCTTCATGAGAAAGTCAAGCCAGAAACAAGGAAGCAGCAAAGGAAAGTTCACAGCACTTGGTAAAGGTGACAGTAAAGAGTCTGTACCTCAGAAGGTGAGAAGGTCTTGTCCCAGTGCCCGTGACCTTCCTGGGTAAATTACTATCACCTCTATTCTCTCACATCTTAAAATAGTTAAGAAAGCTACCTCATTCTGGCAGTATGAGAACTGAACAAAGTCAAGTATGTGAAAAACCATGAGTATTAAAAAGCTTTACAAATGAGAAACATTTTTTTCTCTCCTTTGTGTGTACTAAGAAAAATATGATGCCTTATCCAAAATCACAGCTTGATTTGATAATAGAGTTTTGTTTTTGTTTTGTTTGTTGTTTCTGAAGTAGAGGAGCAAAGAGTACCACTATGGCATAGCTAAAGTTAACCCTGAGTTATATTATTAAAAGCACTTGCAGCTTATTCAAGCAATGTGTTATGGATGATGTTAAAAACTGCAACACAATTCTCATTTACAGTGACAGTCCTTCAGGCATTAGGCCTGGCTTGGCTCTCCCATGTGGGAATTATTCACCTTTTGAATAACAGCAAACTTCTAAACCTGGGTGGGCTCTGACCAGATTTTCTCCTAAATGTTATACCACTCCTAAAACTACCATATGGCATCTGCCAAGAGAATACAAATTTATTTAAATTTTAACATCATAAATACACAATGAAAACAAGGTTCCCAGGAAAACAAAAATGGAACAAGGCATGAAAGTTTCTGGAACTAAACAAAAATATTTCTGAATTATCTGTTTCTAGGGTTTAAGCCACATTGTTGCTTCCAACCAAATATGAAAAAATAAATTTCAACTAAGACATGTTGAAGAAACCAGTCAAGTAGAGACTGGTAAAGCACACTAGCTCCCAGGTCTAATTTGACCAACTGTTCTGTTTTTGTATGGCCTGTGAACTAAAAATGGTTTTTATATTTTTAAATGGTTGGAAAATATTAAAACAATAATATTTTGTGGCATTCAAAAATTATATAAAATTCAAATTTCAGTGTCCATAAATAGTCCTATTGGAGCACAGCCATATTCATTCACCCATGACTGCTCTTGCACTTCAACGACAGAGTGAAATAGCTGCAAAGAGACCACAGGGCCCACAAAAATAGTACTCTCTGGTACTTTACATAAAGTCTGCCAACTCTAAGCAAAAATATATGGAGTTTATCAATAGCATTAATATTCTAATTAATAATGATGTTAATGATGATGAAGAATATTCTCCTACTGATTTCCTCAATGAAAATTAACTCATAATGTTTATTAATTCTTGCAAAAACATAAGTAAACACTTATTATGTACCAGGCAGCTTTCTAGTAGTCATCTCTCTGTATCCACAGGCTCTATACCAATGTATTCAACCAATTATGGATTAAAAATATATGAAAAAATGGTGCTTATACTGAAAGTGTTCAGAATTTTTGTGTCACTATTTCCTAAATGAATAGTGGAACAACTACTTACATAGCATTTATATTGTATTAGGTATAATAAGTAATCTAGAGATGACTTAAAGTATAAATGAGGATGTTTGTAGGTTATATGAAAATACTATGCTGTTTTATATAAAGGACTTGAGCATACAGATATGGGTATAGACAGGGCAGGAGTGGAGGGGTGTCCTGGAACCTATTCCCCATAAATACTGAGGGACAACTGACCAGGAAGATACTTGCACTCAAGGAGTTGAAATTCTCATAGGGAATACAAAAATAAAAATCTGTAAGTAAAAGATATTTATATGTTAGGTGTAGTATATGCTATTAAGAAAAATAAAACAGGAAATGATGAAGTTAGGCATAGGGGCATGAAGTGTTAAGGAGAGCTATTTCAGTTTTAAATAGGAAAATCAAAGATGGCCTCATTGAGAAGGCATCATTTGAGTCAAGATCCAAATGAGGTCAGGGATTAGCCATTCAAGGAACTAAGGGAAAATTGTTCAAGGCAGAGAAATACCCAATGCAAAGACTCTAAGATAGGGGAGCAGCCCTGGCCTGTTCAAGGAATGGCACAGACCTGGAGACCTCTGCTGCTATGCCAAAGGGAGTAAGAAAGAGTAGCATAAAATAGTTAAGAGTGTAACTAGGATACAGACCAGGTGCACCCATTAGGTCACTGCAAAGAAGGATCTTAGTCTAGACTGCCAATTCCTTTTTTTCTTCTTCTTCATCAGTTATGGCCGTCTTAAAGTTGAAGTCTGGCCTGTCCTTCTCTTTTCTCTCATATGAATTCGATAGTGGTGGTGTTACTGACATGGTTTTAAATAACTACTGAAATGGACTACTCCAAAATACACTGCTCCAATTCCATGTGTTTAATGTTCTAGAAGCCATCTATCTACATCTGTATACATACTTGAAACTAAACATTTGGAAAAGACCATTTTCCCATGAAACTTTAATTCCTTCAATTTTTCTAAGGATTCCACTCACAATTTAAAGTCACTTTTAGTTGATCTCTCTAAGTTATATGTAATTTATTGCCATGTCCTGACAAGTCTTATTAACTAAATTCATATAATACCTGCTATTCGTGTTCAGTTTCCTTTTTGACACAAATTCTAATCATATTAAAAGCCTTGGGCCAAACATCTTCTTGCTGTTTCCCTACTTCTATCCATCCTTGGAATGATGGTACCTTAAGGGTGCCTTAAGATTCAGGGCACCCTAATGTAATTTTTATTCAACAAGATAATCGTTTCTAAAATATTTCTAAAAGAAGGTCGCCAATCTCTGAATACAAGCATATAGCCTGATAAATGACAAATAGTAAGAATTTAGTAAGTGCTTGAAATTATAATTGTTCCTGCAGATTCTAGAATCAGACCACATGGGTTTCAATTCCAGCTAAATCATGGGCAGCATGCTAGGCCTTCCTGTTGTAAAACAGATTTAATAACAGCACCTACCTCACAGGGTTTTTAAATCACTGCAAAGCAGTTAGAATACCACCTAGCACATATGAAAAACCATGTATTTGTTAGGTATGGGCTCGCTGCTTCAACAGAACAGTCTTCAGTTTTTCCATTATCAGAAATCCCTTTCTTTTTTAAGTCTGAAATTCTGCCTCCTCTCCTAGGTATGTACCCTCTGCCTCCCCTCCCAGGTATGTTCCCTCTGCCTCCTTTCCAAGGTAACTGAAAGCATAACGACCTGCCCCAAGCTTGTGAACATTCTTG